GGATGGGGGGGGGGATGGGTCTTCATTCGGTGCCATCGAAGAGACTTAGTGAGCTAAGGGAAAGCCGGACCGCGCGACTTGTCTACAGTTCCTGGGGGGTGCGGGCAGGTACCTCTTCTCTAAGTGAAGTTTCCCACCCGTGACTCATCCGTCCCTTCGTGGCAGCTCTCCATGCAGGCTACCAGGAATGGGCTGTGAGGTTAGAGAATAGAAAGGCAAGGACTCCATTGACCGGCAAAGTGCGTTAAACTGTTTTCCTGTTAACTAAACCCTGGAACACACTTTGTCCCAACCTTATTTGTTTGGAATCGGTGAACACTCTTGCAACAGTGAAAGTGTGTGTTCACAGGGTTCAAACAGGGTGAAGAGACCTCTGTCCTAGCCGCATCTTCCAGGGATTTTAAGACTTATGACATGTCATCAACATGCTTTCTGGCCTCCACTTTCTCATCTGGACCAGGAAGGGGTAGTTTCAAGTGGATTTTGTGACTTCCTTTGAGGCTAACTAAATATGCCTGCTTTCTGACAGCCAGGGCCTCGCCCCAACATTGTGAGCAGTGGAGGGAGGGAAAGAAATTGGACTCAGGGGCCTCTAGAGCTGGCTCATCAGCTAAGAGCAGCTACTGCTCTGGCAGGGGACCTGAGTTTGGTTTGCAGTACCCAAGTTGAGAAACACATAATCATTTGTAACTCCAGCTCCAAGGGATCCAACATCAACATATTCACATGCACATGCCAAGACACATGCATGTACATACACATATGCATGTACACGCTCTAAATCAGTAAATGTTTTTTAAAAAGAAAAAAAAAAGGGTCCAGTCTGCTCTGGTAATAAGAAAAATAATTTAGAGTTAGATTTTTGAGGGAAAGGTTTTCACCTGTCTTGTTTGTATTTTCAGTGTTTCATTTCAACATAATTTGGCTTTGGTTCATTTAGATATATTTGCAAATAAACACATATTAAATCGCTGTGTGGTGGTGGCACACACCTTTAATCCAAACACTCAGGAGGCAGAGGCAGGTAGATTTCTGTGAGTTCGAGGACAGCCTGGTCTCCAGAGTGAGTTCCAGCACAGCCAGGACTACACAGAGAAACCCTGTCTCAAAATAAACAAGCAAATAAACTATATATATATATATATATATACTATAAATAACTATATATAAACTATAAATAGATCTACCTATAAATTCAATCACTTCAAAGTAATAAGGCACTAGGTGATTTTGATTTTGCCCTTCATAGATTATTTGTTGTATCTGTGTGATGAAGTTCGTAGGTCTTGTCTGATCCACCCAGTTTTCATATTGGAACCCTGAGGAGCAGAGAGCTAACTGATGCGTGGCTCCAGCTCCCTAAACCCCTTTGAAACTCTGTGGCTGTTAACTTTCTAGTTTTCTAGCCCAGCACACAGTCACACATGCACAAGCATACACACACACACACACTTTATTTTATGTGTGTGGTAGTTTTATCACGTGTGTTTCTGGTGCCCCCAAAAGCCCTGAAGTGGAATGTCAAATCCCTTGGAACTGGAATTACAGACATTTGTAGCCACTGTGGGGGTGCTGAGAATCGAACCTGTGTCCTCTGGAATAGCAGCTAGTGCTCTCAGCCCCTGAGCCACCTCTCCATCGCCTCCTCATTAGGGTGCTTTCTTCACTCTAGTGCACCTGTCTTATTCCCCGTCTCCCTTGCCAGTTCTTCCTTCTCTTTCCTTTGCCCCATCCCTTCTCTTCCTCCCCCCATCCCATCTGTCACTCAATTGCTCCAGTATTGAATTATTGCCAGATTTTTCTGTCCTGCCTTCCAGCTCCCAAAGAACCATATGGAAATTTCATATTCATTATGAAAGCTTGGCTGATAGCTTAGGCTTGTTCCTAACTAGCTCTTATCACTTAAATTAACCCATATTTTTATTGATCTACGTTCTACCACATAGCTTTTTACTGATATGGGATGTCCTTCTGTGTACATGTTGCTTTTATTGGTTGATGAATAAAACTGTTTTGGCCAATGGCTTAGCAGAGTACAGCCAACTGGGAAATCCAAACAGAGATAAGAGAAAGAGTAGGCGGAGTCAGGGAGACACCACGTAGCTGCCAAAGAAGAAGGGCACCAGAACTTTACCAGTAGGCCACTGCCTTGTGGTGATACACAGATTAATAGAAATGAGTTAATTCAAGATGCAAGAGCGAACCAGAAATACCCCTGAGCCATTGACCAAGCAGTGCTGTAATTAATATAGTTTCTGTGTGATTATTCAGGTCTGGGCAGCCAGGAAATGAAAAAGCAGTCTCTGTTTACATTTTACTTCTATCCCATTTTGTGTTCAACTTGTTCTGAGTCTGTCTGGCCTCTCTGCTCTTCTTCCTAGTGTTCTCCTTGCTACCCAAAATCTTGCTGAGCTATCAGCCATTCAACTTTTTATTAAACCAATCAGAGCGACACATATTCACAGTGTACAGAAAGATTATTCCACAAGACTGAATTATACCTTCTAGTTTTTTTCTTCCTTTAGGGTTGAGGATATAGAGTCCTTGGTTATTGTCAAGAAAGCCTTGGGTTTGATCTCCAGCACTCTGTAAACCAGGCGGGTTGGCTCTGGTTTATAATTCTAGTGCTTGGATGGTAGAAGCAGGAAAATCAGAAGCTCATTGATATATAGGGAGTAGAAATACAGCCTGGGACACTAGCAGACAACGAAGCAAAACAGAACCGAGAGAAACCGGGCATCTTGTAACTTGGATTGTTTTAATCAAGACCTTGTGAGCCCAGCACCCACCTAGCAGTGACATCGACCCTTTTGGGTTGATGGATTGAAATCTAAGCCTTACCAAGCTTCACCTGCCCTGCTGTAGGATTGAGTCCCGCCTCCATTTCTGCATGGGGCATTCTGCAGAGACACCAGTGTGGCGTCCACGCCCCTTGTCTCTACTGTGCACACGGTAGGAGTGTTTGACACGAAGCCTTTCACAGCAGCCATCCCTGGGTTCACTAGCAATCGGTTCAGAAAGCAAACTAAGAGAAGAACACAGTGGGGAGGGATGGAGAGCTGTGTGACGTGAGAGCTGCCATTGGCAGATGTGCTGGGCAGGAAAGCCCAGCACCTTGGGTTTGGTTACTGCCCCCCCCCCCCCGACCTCCCCAGATTCTGGAGAGTTCAGTGTGTGAGAGAGAGAGACTCATTTTGCTAGTTTACACTTAGCTAATATATCCAATCTGATGGCATCATTACCCCAACCAGGAGAAGCTTCTTGGATAATGAGTGACAGGCAGATAGTCCACACAAACGGGTGTGGCAGGAGCTGTCTTTACCGTGGGTATCGAGTCAGTGGAGGACTTTTGGCTTACACTGTGAACAGGTGCCAAAAAAAAAAGCTTATTTTTTTCCTAATCTCCATATGTAATTTCTACTAATAAATATTTCTTCACCTTTACATCTACATGGAAAAATTGCCTCCTACACCAGCTCCACCTTCCAGCCAGGTCCAAACCCCTTACTCCCAACGTTATCATTAGACCCAGGATTCCAGCTGCCTTTGGTTATGAAGGCTTCACGCAAATACGGACCAAAGGGCGTGAATCATGAAATGGTGCCCCTTTCCCCTCCCCATTTCCCCCAAGTGAAATAACAGTTTATTCTGCAGCCTTTCAAATCACTCCCACAAAATTGGCAAGCCAATACAATCGACGCATTCCTGCTAATCCACCCTGAAGTAAATACACGGTGGCAAAGCTGCCACATTCGCCAAGACCATAGCTCCCCAATTACTGAAGAATTAACTAGGGATATAATGAGGGAGGGCTAAGTGTAACTCAGTGCAGAGGGAAGCAGCCTTGCCCTTCTGTGTCTAACCTGCCAACGGAAACTTTCTATACGTTCGAGAACGTGGAAGTACAGCTAACTCCCATGTTTGCTTTTTTAAAAAAAATCGCACCACGTTTTTTTGAGTTCAATCTAAGGACGGACAAAATGTCCCCAAGAGATGCTAGCTTGAGGGCTTTGCTGGACTAAGCCAATTTCCTGGCATGCTTGAAGAACCCCTGTGGGAGTGTCTGTTGTGAACCCACACAGCCTGGAGTTTGAGCTTTGCTGGGTGTTCATGGAAAGCAAAAGGAAGTTAGCTGTCTGGTTGTCTATGCATGCTGGAATGGGGAGGTCAGAAAACCTGGGTTTGGGTCCCAACTTTACGCTAGGAGCAATAATAGCACTAGGAACAACCAATTTGTTTAATGTTATACATCATATCCCTGGAGGTTTTTAATATGCATTTTAGCCTTACAGTGATCCCGGGAGGCAAGGAATGCACCTCTCAAGGGCCCTGATGAGGAAACACAGGCTCAGATAGGTGTTAATTGCCGGTTACCTTGCGGAGATCTCTTCTACCATATAGCTAAAGCCCGGGTCTAGGTCCAGAGGAAGC